TTTCGGTGCTTTGTGTCTATTCGTTTTATGTTGTGTTTGTGCTTAGTACCGATCTTTTGAGTTAAGCAAAGTGCAACTGATTTTTACAGTGTGTTCTTATATTGTGCTGTTACACTACTGTCACCAGTTAGAGGAGGGTGGAACGCTCACTAAAATGTTTAACCCCGCCCAATTCTTTTGGTGCCTGTCCAAAGAAAGTAGCCTATAGTAAAGTGGTTGTCGTTTGTTAATGTCCGTCCTATTTGTTTTTCGTAAATTGTTTTGTTATAAATTGTATCGTTAGTTTTCTCATTTGAATTGTTTTACATTTTGCATGTTGGGGCCTTTTATAACGACTAAAAGGTATGGATTTTTCTCATTTTTGAAGGCCGTACGGTGGCTTATATTTGCTTACTACTACTTCATATTAACTCTGGTGGACAGTTGTCTAATTGGCAATCATACCACATCTCCTCATTTTCATATACAGAATGTACAAGTTCTGGACCTCTTTTCCAAAATATAGAATTTTGTTGGACACTGCCAATTTCTTTAATATTTTTTTTTATCTTAGATTAAACAGTACTCATCTAAACTGCTATACAAATTTGAGATGAGAGAAATTCACACTTTTCAAACTCATGAAGTCATGGAATTAAAAGAAGTACAAAACAGACATATTATGAATAGAAGGGCATCAACAAAAAGTCATTAAAGGTTTATATGAACTAATATTTTATTCAGAAGCAATACAGCTGATATATATATATATCAGCAGGGTTTAAGAACATTTGTTGTTCGACTTGTTGGTCAAATGCGTTTTATTAAAATATACTTTTTCACTTTTTTGGTCTTTTGGAAAATGTTGTTTGTGCTGTATTTAGACCCCTCTAACAAGAAATTTGTTTTGCATGCACACGTATAAAAATTGCGGTTTTTATCCAACGCAATCATAGGTTTGAACGTTGTTTTCAATTTAGACTTGTTTATATATATATATATAAATATTAGTCATGATCCATCTTCATGTCGAGGAAAGGTAACACTAGGCCACCGAAAGCTGAATTTTAGTTCAGTCTAGGTGGCCGAGTGGTCTAGAGACCTGGACACAGTGCAGGCGGTGTTGTCTCGATATCCCAATAGCATGAGTTCGAATCCCGGCGGGGGAAGAACAAAAATTTGCTTGAGTAATTATGTATATATATATATATATGCTTCCGCAAATTTACAGATCTAACATTGTTGGGCTGTTATTTAGACGAATTATATATACAGAATGTATTTTTAGCCTTGTATCACCATCACTGGTGATCCGATGGATAAAATCTGTCGTAGAGTTGTCACTGGTTCAGACGTACTTATAATATAATTATTTCTGTGACTGTATCCTACATTAATTTGTAAGATCCTCTATGATAGATAATTCAGCTGATCTGTAATATTCCATCTTCATGCCTTATATATCATGCACTGTGTTACGATGCTAGATAAAAACTGACAAGGAAAGGTAAGACCCGGTCACCGAAAGCTTAATTCTATCAAGCCTAGGTGGACGAGTGGTCTAGCGCGCGGGGCATAATGCAAGGCGATTTGGTACCACGATATATCAGTAGCATGAGTTCGAACCCCGGCCAGGGAAGAACAAAAATTTTCTTCCGCAAATTTAAAGATCTAACATTGTTGGGCTGTTATTTAGACGAATTATATAATTATACAGAATGTATTTTCAGCCTTGTATCACCATCACTGGTGATCCGATGGATAAAATCTGTCGTAGAATATATATATATATACAAGTCTAAATTGAGAACAACGTTCAAACCTATGATTGCGTTGGATAAACACCGCAATTTTTATACGTGTGCATGCAAAACAAATTTCTTGGTAAAGGGGTCTAAATACAGCACAAACAACATTTTCCAAAAGACCAAAAAAGTGACAAAGTATATTTTAACAAATATATACTAGATATATATATATAGAATATTCAACTCGTCTAAACATCAGCCCAACAATGTTAGATCTGTAAATTTTTTGTTCTTCCCTCGCCGGGATTCGAAATTCATGCTACTGAGATATCGTGACACCAAATCGCCTGCACTGTATCCGACGCGCTAGACCACACGACCACCTAGGCTTCACAATAATAAAGCTTTCGGTGGCCGGGTGTTACCTTTCCTCGTCAGTTTTAATCTAGCGTCGTAATACAGTACATGATATATAAGGCATGAAGATGGAATTGTTACAGATCAGTTGAAATATCTATTGTAAAGGATCCTACAAATTAATGCAAGATGCAGTCACAGAAATAATTAGGTCTTTCCACTTTTCTGTGGAAAGACCTATTGTATTTGTTCTGATTATTAGGTCTTTCCACTTTTCTGTGGAAAGACCTATTGTATTTGTTCTGATTATTATTATTATTATTATTATTATTATTTTTTATTCCGCCTAATTTTGTTCTCGCGTAAAATTTTTGTTTCGCAAGATGTCGCTTAGATATTTCTTATATAGTATCATACAGTTTATGCGCTTTTTATTTTCACCCATTCTAAGCCGAACAATTTTCTTTGTAGGAGTTATCTCCCTGAACACTGTTTTCCTTGTGACTGCATCTCCTCCGTAACCGTAAAAGAAAGCGACAAGTTTATTTTACCAAATGGCTCGCTATATCCTCAGGATTTTTTGTCCAATTTTGACGGAAGCGATACGAAGACTCCATATGAGAGTTATTTCCCCTAATGCATTTGAAATAAGTGATATGCATTTGTAACTGGTAAACCATAAGTGATAGAGACCTAGGGTCTGTTGATTTGAGGTCCTTGATCCTAAAGAATAGAAAACTAGGTCAAGGTCAAAGGTCAAGGTCATGTTGTGATTTTTTTACATTAAGTTCATATCGCTTCTTCCTAGAAAGAGTTATAGATATCGACAAAACAATTTAACCAAAAAGTTTGTCGCGACACGTGTTTACTAGAATTTTTGGTCGAAATGGTACGCGTCATTTTATTGCAGGGTCAATGTCCCTGTTATGGTCAAATCAACAAATTACTTATCAAAACTTCAAACTTTGCAGCTATCATGTTGTAAATGTTTCTTATCTCAATAATGAACCACAGTCTACCACTACACTCCCCCCCCTTTTTTTTCAACTGATTTTTTTTTTTAAGTTATCCCATTTCAAAGAAAAGAAGATCGCTTTTAGTCCCGTGCATTATACTGTAAAATGCTAATCCTTCTTATGTACAAATTTCTTTCTGAAATAGAAATCCATCCCTGCAAAAATCTGCTCCAATTCATGTATTTTCTGAAATTAATCGATGAGACACGTGCGGTCCGCTTGATTGCGAAATTAAAATCAATGTATTACTGAAATCCTACAATCAAATTTCTAAACATGCATTAAAATACAAATCTGTGCTCCCGTAAACATGTGTACGTAATATGTATGCATGATCCGACATCAATGACCTGTACAAAATAAAAACAATAGTTATCGTGTTTCTTTGATCAATACACATGTGCTCTGTTCAACGGTCTCCCCTGAAAAGACAGACATATATATTCGAGGGTCACGTGACTTCACAAAACCATCTCGCGCGCGGATCTAAATTTAGAATAAAACATTGCATATCCAAATAAGGAAAATAAAACTTCCAAGATAAAATTTACTCCGTTTTCCTACAAATTCAATCAAAATGCATACACAGCAAATAGATGACAAATGGAAGTCCGAGGTAACATAGAAACTAGAGAAAAATTATAAACGAATGATGCTAGGATCAATTTTTATGAGGACATCTCAGGCGTCCGTTTGGCTGTGCGGGATGTCTAAGTACGCAGTCACGTTCGGTCAGAATATAGGCGTTATTTAAGTTAGCTGCGTCGCACAGAGAAAGTGCCATGCATGCAATCAATCAATCAATCAATCAATCGATCAATCGACCGACCGACCAACCAACCAACCAAAAAACCAATTAATCATGTTTCGGAGGGGAAAGACCGTTTAACAATTGTTTTTAAAACAATTGATTTATATTTATATTTATAAGTATGTCTGAACCAGTGACAACTCTACAACAGATTAATCCATCGGATCACCAGCAGTGATGGTGATACATGGCTGTGTACATTCTGTATATACAACTCGTCTAAACATCAGCCCAACAATGTTAGATCTGTAAATTTGCTTTCGCAAATTTTTTGTTCTTCCCTCGCCAGGATTCGAACTCATGCTACTGAGATATCGTGACACCAAATCGCCTGCACTGTATCCCGGCGAGGGAAGAACAAAAAATTTGCGAAAGCAAATTTACAGATCTCTAACATTGTTGGGCTGATGTTTAGACGAGTTGTATATACAGAATGTACACAGCCATGTATCACCATCACTGCTGGTGATCCGATGGATTAATCTGTTGTAGAGTTGTCACTGGTTCAGACGTACTTATAAATATAATTATTTCTATGACTGTATCTTGCATTAATTTGTCCATCCTTTACAATAGATATTTTAGCTGATCTGTAACAATTCCATCTTCATGCCTTATATATCATGTACTGTATTACGACGCTAGATTAAAACTGACGAGGAAAGGTAACACCCGGCCACCGAAAGCTTTATTATTGTGAAGCCTAGGTGGTCGTGTGGTCTAGCGCATCGGATATAGTGCAGACGATTTGGTGTCACGATATCTCAGTAGCACGAGTTCGAATCCCGGCGAGGGAAGAACAAAAAATTTGCGAAAGCAAATTTACAGATCTAACATTATTGGACTGTTGTTTAGACGAGTTGTATATACAGAATGTACACAGCCATGTATCACCATCACTGCTTGTGATCCGATGGATTAATCTGTTGTAGAGTTGCCACTGGTTCAGACGTATATATATATATATATATATATAAATCAACATTTTTACATTAAATTTCAAATTAATCACAATAATTATAAGGAATTCACATATGGCGAAGAATGACAATAAGCAATGCCATATGATAAATAAGGAATACAACTACATATACGGATTTTCTTTTTATATTGAACAAATATTTATCCAGTCATTAAGTTCTTTCACATCGTGAACTGATAACAACTGTAGAAGTTTAAAAGTAGATGGTTTTTGCCAATCATGTCCTTTGATATATTGTTTTCTTACATCACTATACCTGTTACGTATACATTCTAAATTAGAATGGTATTCATCTTCAAAATTATTGCTGTTGCACATAGTACATAACCTATTTTCTCTCTCTTCATTGTAATATCTGCCTGTCTCTATATTGGCAGAGATACGATATTTACATATAGAAGGTTAATAAAATTGATAAACAGGTCTATTTAAATAAAATTGCAATATATCTGTAGCACATATATATTTCTACAAAAAATGATAACAACACGTTATAAATTTCATGCGTTCGAAGCGCTTTTCTGGGTTAAGTTTCATCAGGAACGATCAAAACCGAATAATTAAAAGCCAAGGATGTATAAGAACCGCAACCGTTGAAGAGCTATATTACCAAAAAGGGCATAAAAATAGCAAAATCCATTTAAGGTTAACTTTGCCTGAGGCAGTGGAAACCTTAGTTTCTATATAATTTCAAAATTTATAAACGGATAATTTAAGAAATGTTTGTTATAAATCATATCAATACCGAATTATTCACTACTGAGCTAATGATACCCTCGGGGACGGTTTTGTTCTTACACTATGCTCTTACACTACTGTCCTAGGTTAAAGGAGGGTTGAACGCTCAAAAAAATGTTAAACTGCCATTTTTTAGGTGCCTGTCCAAAGAAAGGAGCCTGTAGTAAAGTGGTTGTCGTTGGTTAATGTCTGTTCTATTTGTTTTTCGTAAATTGTTTTGTTATAAATCATAGTCTGTTAGTTTTCTCATTTGAATTGTTTCACATTTGTGCATGTCGGGGCCTTTTATACCGACTATACGGTATGGATTTTTCTCATTGTTGAAGACTGTACAGTGGCTAATATTTACTTACTACTACTTTATTTTAAATCTGGTGCATAGTTGTCTCATGGACAATCATACCACATCTCCTCATTTTTAGGATTGTCAATTTTCATACCGAAGTTCGGTGGTTCTCTCCGTGCTCTCCCGCTTCCTCCACCAAAAAAAAACAAACAAAAAAACTGAACGTCACGAAATAGTTCAATAGTGCTGACAGTGGCGTTATACACCAATCAATCAATTAATAAATTACTGCCAAAAAATTTGTTATTAGCAGGTAAAAAATACATTTCAGAGTTTCGTTAACAAAAAATGATCACAAGTTCAGGGCATTTACATATAAAATACTATTGCTCGCTATGCCCGTGTCTGTAGTCGTGTTTTGTTATACAATGAACGTAATAAATGTATAACTGGTAAATTATTAAGTCAGGGAAATCTTAACCACAAACTAATTAAAGCCTCTACCGAATTCCTTCATAGATACACGTACAAAGATTTAGATAGAATGTGTCAAATTGGCTGTATCTGTAGAATAATTCTCATCAAAAACGGGATATAACATTCTAATTCTTACGGTGATGTTGTTTATAAAGCACGTACATTAAGACACAATTCATGTAAACTAATTGATCTTTTAAATAAACCTAGTCTTAAAGGTTATCAACTTAACAGTAGTAAAATCTATAATTATTGCGTTTATCGTTACTAACATTGATTTGAATTATTAAAACATAACTAAATATTTATAGCTTTATATGTACAGTTATGAGAACTCGTGATCCTACAACCTGTCGATACTGTTTACTTTTAATTTGGCATTGCGTTTCTCAGACTCTTATACTAAATCCGTTTGGTTTGTACTTTAGTCTGGGAAAACGTGACTTATTTACTTGTTGTTATTGGCTATGAAAAAGCTTTTAGTAACTGCGCTGTTTGTCAATTGTTTTTATGTTAGTTGTTTTTGTACCTCGTACCGATCTTTTGACTTAAGCTAATTGCAAAAGACTTTTATAGTTTGTTCTTATGTTGTGCTGTTACAACACTGTCACATGTTACGAGAGGGCTGAGGACTCACACACATGTTTAACCCCGTCCCAAGTCAGGAGTTTGTAGTACAGTGGTTGACGTTGGTTCATGTCTGTCACATTTGTTTTTCCTAAATTGTTTGTTATAAATAAGGCCGTAAGTTTACTCATTCGAATCGTTTCACGTTTTGCGTGTCGGGGGGCCTTTTATAGTCGACTATGCGAAATAGGTTTTTCTCATATTTGAAGGCCGTACGATGGCCTATAGTTGATTACTACTTCTTCATTTTAAGCAGATAGTTGTCTTATTGGCAATCATCACACCTCCTCATGTCTATATATAGAATGTAGAAGATCTGGCCCTCTTTTCCAACCGATCGATTTTTTTTCGACACTGCCAATCTCTTTGTTATCTATTTATCTTAGATTAAACAGTACTCAACTAAGCTGCCGTACATTTTTAAGTTGAGTGAAATTCACACTTTGTTAAACTCATCAAGTCATGCAGTTCAAAAAAGTACAAAACACATATTACAAATAGAAGTGCATCAGGAAAATTCACTAAAGGGTTAAAAACATGGTTTGATGTTACTACATGCCTTGTGTTTTTTCATTTCCATCAAAGGTATACTTACTCTGTAACATACATGGGTATTTACATAAACATTTCCGTCATATTGCTCAAGTTCTCCAATAAGAATAAATGCAGCCATATGGCTTGTATAAACAACTGAATCAGGTTTAATGCAGACCAGTGATCCACTGTCTCCTTCTTTTGAAAAGTGTTCATCTAGTCCTTCAATTATAAAAGTTTCGATGTCGAAATTTCCATTTTCTAGTTTTCGTGTGCAGAGGACGCCTATATATTTTCCATTAGTCCGACCTGTTGTAGCACCCCATTTATAAACAGTGTCGTTTTCATTAGGCATCATGTCATTTTCTAATAGTTCACCTGGGATGAATTCATTTTTACCGTGACGAATACCATGCGAACCGCAAACGTTGGTGTTTTGTAGCTTTAAAAGTGCAAAATCAACATCTTCACTACAGTAAAACAACTTTGTACAAAATAAATATCCGTCATCAGTTTCAATGTTTAATGAAGATGACCCTTCAATAACATGCTTACAAGTTGCACAGTAATATTGGCCTTTTTCATCTTGTAATGCAAAACTTACCGTTCCATACCGCGCTGGGAAACTCTCACTTTGTGTGACTTTAATTCCAGACATCAACGTATGCTTTTTAGTGGTCATTTCCTGATACTCACAAATGTTTACAATTGAAATGTCCTCATTATATTGCAAAAGATAACTTCGAATTGAAGCTTCATCATGAACTTCCTTTTGGATGTAAATTTTGATGATCTTTCCGAATAGTCCACATGCCTTAACCAACAGGTTCCTATGAAAAAGAATATGAACACATAATGGGTACGTCATACATCGAACTGCGTCGAGAAGGGAGTAATATACGATTAATTGTAATGAAAATGTATTTAAGAAGAATCATGTACAACACAAAAGTTTACCATGTATCAAATATACGATTTTTTTTCCAATTCAATCATCAATAAATAGCTATAGAAATTCGACGGAAATTGCACTTCAAATGAAGAATGTCAATTATACACTTAGGTGTGCCAAATATTTTCACTTACGTTTAACAATTGTCAGTGAGGTTTATTTGAGTGCTATGACGCCATTACGATTTGGTTGGCAGTTATAGAATCTCTGTTTTACAGATGACGGCTGATATGCTTCAATCGTTGTAAATATAATTCCGTCCGCCTTTTCCCCGAATATGGCCCGAGAACACAGTTATTTCGTAGTGCATTTCTTTTAGACAATAAAGTCAAATTAAAAAAATCGCACCTGCTCTATCTCAAAAAGATTTTTACAGTGTAGTGTACTACTATTAGGACAAATAATATCAAAATTATAGAAAAGTCTACCAGCTCTAACTCAAAATATTGACAATTCTATGTTAAGGGGGTCTAAAATTCAGTTTGACAGCTTCAGACATACTAATTTTTGACCTTTTTAAACTGGACCTAATCACTACTTAACATAAAGATTCAGCACCCAAATTTTTTTAACATGTAATTTCATCCCCTTTCTTAATATTTCATGCATTAAATATAAAGAAATAAATTTGGAAAGTGTATGAAAACAATTTGCAAGTTATACACTGTCCACACTAGGGACTATATTTGTAGACAACGAAAATCGAAGGACGATAACTGTGTCCTCGGACCATATGACCTACCAAATTAGACTTATCACCTGGTTTGTACTTACATGAGTAACACGAAGGGTGGCACATGTGGAGCAGAATCTGGTTACCCTTCGGGAGCACCAGAAATCACCTCCGGTTTTTGGTGGGGTTAGTGTTGCTCAGTTGTTAGTTTACTATGTTGTGCTTTGTATACTGTTGTTTGTCATTTGGTCTTTTTCTTTTTTGCCTTGGTGGTGTCAGATTATTTTTCAGGAGCAACACAACGGTTGCTTACCCTTCCAAAGCATAGTCTTTATTTTTCTATATAGTGTTTAGTAGATTTTTGTCTTTTCGTTCGGTTTTTGACATTGTGTTGTCAGTTTCTCTTCGACTAATGAGTTGATGAGATTTATATTCGAATTGTATTCGCCAAGAAGAACACGCCACGTGCCACAAGTGAAGAAAGTTCTACTTATTCTTTTGTAGCACATGAGATCCCCACGGATGTCAACTGGGTTCGTGTTGTTCAATATTTAGTTTTCTGTGAAGTGTTTTGTGGATTGTTGTTTTTCTGTTCGTAGTTAATTATTTTTTGTCATGTGTTTTCAGTTTTTTTCGACATATGATTTTTTGTTATACTTTTGGTACTTTTTGTTCATTTTCAAATTCTGATTTTCGAGTGTCTATTTGATAAATTGATAATTTCATCAGCTGTGTCAAAAATTACATCAGGTTGACGCATAATTCTGCCGTCCTTTTTCCTCGTCTATGGCACGAAGGAATTGAGCCTATTATCTGAGTTCTGCTTGAAATGAGAAACCAGATGGTTTCAACTGGTATATCAAAAAGTGCGTACCCGTCCGGACAACCTGAATTCAGTATTTTATTTTAATGTGGTTAGGTATGATTTTCCTAGTATTTGTTTTTCTTTTGATTTATGATTTTCAATGTTTTTGATACTTTTAAATTTTCACATTCGGGCAGATGTAAGCTTTTAAGGTTACAGTCTTGTATATACAGATGGTGAAGGAATTTTGCAAAGTCTAAGTCATAGACAAGATACATGTTTTGGAAATAAACACATTTATTCTAAAACCAGTTGTTGGCATGATACGGGTTATGTTATTCTCATATATTTTATGATGGTATGATACTTAACCCCTAACGGGAGGGATTGTACCTTATTTTCATATGATGAAGACATAATCTTTCAATCAGTTTAATTGAGGTCTGGAGATGGCATGTCGGTAACTGCTAGTAGTCATTTGTTAATTTATGTATCATTGTCATTTTGCTTAGTTTCTTTTTTTACCTATTCTGACATCGGACTCGGACGTCTTTCAAACTGAGTTTAACTGTGCGTATTGCTATGTGTTTCTTTATTCTACATTGGCTAGAGGTAAAGGGGGGGGTTGAGATCTCACAAAACATGTTTAACCCCGCCGCATTTTTGCGCCTGTCCCAAGTCAGGAGCCTCTGACCTTTGTTAGTCTTGTATGTATTTTTAATTTTAGTTCCTTATATGTTTTGGAGTTTAGTGTGATGTCCATTTTCACTGAACCAGTACACAATTTTATTTAGGGGCCAGCTGAGGACCACCTCTGGGTGCGGGATTTTCTCGCTGCGTTGAAGACCCATTGGTGGCCTTCGGCTGTTATCTGCTCTTTGGTCGGGTTGTTGTCTCTTTGACATATTCCCAATTTCCATTCTCAATTGTATATTTACCATTCAAATATATTATATAGCCTTATGATCCTGTAATTACTTCCACAATTTTAACACAAGTAACGGGTACAAATTATTTGAAGTTTGTGCATATTGCATATGTAGTTTTATGACCTTATTTCGGTTATTCCAGAACAGAACTAAAACGTTTATTAATAAGTAAAATGAAAACAAACCTTTCAGTAATAGTTTTGTATTCGTGAAAACAAATATCAAATTTGTTTCTTTCTGCAAATACATTTATTATATCACTCATTTTCATGTATTCCAAATAAACATCACCAAACTTTGAAAGCACAGCTTGAACTAGTTCATCCCGTCGTTCCATGATGTTTTTGTGTATTTCATCTGCAATCATTTGTCGGAACCTTGCATCCATAACATCTACTGAACATAATAAATCAGGATAACTTCCAAGTTTTGCGACTATTTTACTATTAATGACCTTTGAAACAAATAGGACCATACTATCAGTTAAAACCGGTTGAGTACCAAACTCATCAGCCAAATTCATGTTGTCTACACGCAGTTTTTCGTTTAGTTTTTCCTGCAAAACTAATGCAATTTCGTTGCTTATACTTTCACACAAATAGTTCTGAAAGCTTGTGACCTTTACTTTTTTCCACGATAATGTATGTGTAACGTTGCAGTCCAATTTCCACTCAAATGCGTTCCTTCTTAAAATATCTTGACATTTATCTTCTTTTAATGGACCGTTTTTCAATATATTTCCAAATACTTGGTAGTAACCTGGAGATGTTAATTGTTCAAGTCCCTCTGTCTTTATCAATTTGACGGGAAGTTCACGAAGAAGACTTCTTTCCAAAAAGAGTGAAATTCTTACTGCAATTTCAGTAGATTTAATTGGGAATAACCTATTAAATATTGTATTTATAGAAGAGAAGTGGTCGAAATATTCAGAGACTTTTTTGCTACATTTCTCCAACATTTGAAATGTACATTCCGTAGTATCAACAGCAAATACAACGGTTTTTATATCAATGTCAGGTACAATATCCTTTATCAATTTTAACAACTCCATGTCCTGAAAAACCAAGCAAATAAGTAAACAGATGTATAGCAAAAACGATACTCTTACTGTTTAGGTACTTCTATTCCTAAACGCATAATTTTACCTTGCACATCACAATCCATACGAATATAGTTCTAATTACTATATTACTATGTCATACATTCCTTGTTTGCACAAAAAGTAAGCTAACGTATGACAATATTAATCAAATGTTCAATTTCTTGGATTTTATCAAATTACTGAAATAATTTATTTAGTGATTTTGTAAATCCCTTTCAGTTTCAGTTGTTTTTTTAAAACCCATAAAATTGTTATGAATTGTATAAATTCACTGGAATATTGCTAGGGAATTTGTAAAATCCCTAATAAGAAGTTTAATTCAGTATCTGAAATGCATTTAACTTAATCATGTTAATATAGATAGACCATTTTTGTTTTATGTATTCATTTGATAGACATTTCTACTTTACACTATTTTAAAATGTCTACATACAAAGGTATATGTACAGATATAAAGGTTACGATTCACGTTATGAGTTTGGGTGACATCTACTATTACATAATGTTTTCTGCCTTTCGACAGAGACACCTGTTTTTGTACTTCCCCACATTGAAAAATTTCATACCGTGACATTATTATTAATATTAAAAAAAACCCACCTTTTTATTTGATTTCGATCAATAGAGTGGAGAAAATATAGAAAATTATTTATCACTGTGGACGTACATGTATATCACATTATCTAAGATATGACCAAAGCAAGTGAAGAATGAATAATGGTCAAGGTGACCTTTTGCCTGGTTAGTTTCTTATTAATTAAAATGCAGGTCCAAAACGAAATATATGTTTTACAAACTATCTGTTGTCTTTTCTATTTCCTGTGGATAAAAATCACCTTTAATATGCAGCATATTAACAAAACAAACTTATTTGATTTTCAGATTTCCTTTTTATTGATCATGAATTATCTTAGATAATGATATTTCACTTGTTTCCAGAGTTTGAGTCAAAATATTGTGGCTGGCTGATATGTCTTTCTGTAGGCTTTTACCATGTGATCAAGCACGTAAATATTCAAGCTCAGTGTGTCGGTCTAGCACAAAACAACAGCTCCATATTCACATCAAATCAATATTTTCAACTGGAAGACATGACCTAAACCAAAATATTTCTTACTCCTTGTTTTTCTCCTGTTACGAAGATAATCTATTCAATATACTTGTTTTATATTTCATTTTGAAAATCATAATTTCTTTTACACTTTTCGTCAATCTCAGCAATTCGAACAAGGTTGAAATATGAGCTTGTTTTGTCTTTTTGTGGGTCTTCAGCAATATGTTCCGCAATTTTCTCATATTTTTCCAGTTTCATATATTACATTTTAAAAGCTTTTGTTTTTTTTCAGTGAGTTATTAAAACAAAAAGATTAATTATTGAACACATTTCCTGAATTAAATCAGTGAATCTGCCAAACATCATTTTTACTGTTACATATACCCAACTGCGAAGGAACTTAGAAAACTACTATGAGTTCATTCGTAGTTGTATATATGTAACAGTAAGAATGTATTTCGACAGATTCACTGATTTAATTGTACTTATTGTGCATACAAATGTTGCAGGTACTAACATAGTTCATCGCATTGGTTATTATTTTTACCTATTTTTCAAAATTTAATAACATATGATGCAGAAAAAAATTATGTCGGGGCAAAATCAGAAAGGCTTAAACAGAACAGCAAGTCGAAAAAGTACATTTGGAGCTTTAGATTGTAGACGATTACATAATTTATTCATTGAAAATTTGCAATATCGATCAATTAGCGTCTGAAATTGTCGCACTGGCAGCCACATTCACCAACATCTTAGTGATAGGATCTCTCGATTAATCAATAATTAAAATCTAAAAAATTCAACGCAACTCGTGCTTCTACTCGCATAGATAATAAACAAGCACAATTCATCATTAAAATTACCCTAAACAACAGGGCTGGTAACCGGATACATTTTATATCCAGGGTAACAGTCTATAGCAGAGATGTCATAGATTTAAGTAAACACGTATGATACTGGCTTGAGTGCGACAGTCATATGAATCTGGAGACAAAACAAATTTTTAAAAATGAGATGCCAAATATACCTTTAACGTTTGTAAGCTTTAGACACAAACAATTAATGTGGCCAGGATTATTACATGCATCCGAAGTGCTTTTCTGGACTTTTCTTCACCAGGAACGATCAAACTGAATATTTGAGAGCCAATAATGTATGAGAAAAGAAAAAGTTGACCAGTTATACATGTTGTATGACCGCAAAAATATAAAAAAAAAAATAGCCAAATCAATCTAAGGTCAACTTTGCCTATGGAAGATTTACCTAAATTTCCTAATGATTTCTTAACTAAAAAAAAATATAACATATTTTCTTTATTAATCAAGCAATCCAATGTAAACCACTGAGTGGGTTACTAGACGGAATGTATCATTCCAATGTGTAAGTCATCAAACACGTATATCAACCAGGGGTTTTAAATTAGTTTGTGATAATACGCGGTTTTGTTAAAAAGATTTTGGATTTTTCATATTTTAAAGGAAGCCAGGATTTTCAACAAATCAGTTAGGAACATATATTGTAAATGTCCAGAGGATTATGACAAACCGTTTTGCATTAAATATCGGCTATATTGTATATATGTAACAAACTAATTTTATGATTTTATTACTTTTATATATGTTAACATTGACATTCAATTCAAAATTGTCTTATTTTGTGAGTAAATGCATTAATTTTTACTCATCATATTTAAAAGCATGTGAATTTACGGGTATTAGAGAGACAAAAAGTCCGTTTTTTTCATTGTCTGTAAATTTGCTGTTTATAAAATATTGAATTATTCAAAACACTTAGTCTCTGCTAGCCACAGGCACTCATGTACATAGCCGTAGCCATATTTGACACAACATTTCGAAATTTGTAGGTTTCAAAGCTCTTCGACTGCAGTTTTCATAACTCATATATTAGCATCATAACTGGTATTTGTTTTACATATAAATGGTATTTATTTGCATTGCAACTGAATTTTAACAATCTTATAGCAGTATCTTTTATTATTTGATTAAAACAACCGAAAGACAAAAATATCTGAACCCTACTTTACCAGAATAATAAACAAAATTTACACAGATACATGTACACAAAAAATTAGTGGCTCGATATCAAAGCATATTCATTGTCACTAAAAGTAGACTCATTGTCGTTAACCTATTTATACCAAAAACATTTCGACCCAAAATATAATATCAGAGGCAGTACTTGTATTAATTTTTGTTCAACATCATGATAAATAGTTCTGAACAACATATTCTTGTGCACACCAACAAAATGTCACTAATTTCAACATAGAACCTTATTCAAACTAAAAATACGCGAATTATTTATTTATAACAAAAGGCCAACGATTTAATAGCAACATATACTTAAAAGGCACAAGCCTTAGTACAGACAAGCCGTTGGACAAAACAACATAATGTATAAATATCAAAAGTACTTTGAATATACTTATATGTAGTACTCAGAACCGCGATGGTACTCCGAACCACAATGGTTACGCTTATGTGCAATAGTTTAACGCTGAAGTGTGTTTTTGATCACTGAAGTGCGATGTTGACATTGTGACGCTATCTTGTTGATAGCTACGCCGAAGTGCGATGGTGGTAACGCTGAAATACGATGTTGGTATCGCTGAAGTGAAATTGACAATATAAACTATACTTTCAATGCTTTGCATGTCGATGCAGAAGTCAATTTGATTGTTGGAAGCAGTTTCGTCGGGTTTGTCAGTAGATAAGGGGCTTAAAAACTATTTAATACTATGGGAAACGGGGAGTGATTGGTAGAGAGGAGAACGTTGACCTTCTGTAGCGTTTTGTTTTCGAAATCTACAAAAGGTATTTTTTTATTTATGATGGAGCGTGACATTCTCTGATACATATGGGTCCGCAAACAAACTCTCAATATTATAATATTATGTAAACTATGTCTCGTAAGAGGAACCAAGAAAAGACAAAATGTTAACGCAGAATTATCATGATTATGTTCACATGCTAAAAATCAGAGAGGACGATCTCTCACATAGTATGCAACTGTAACTAAGAACATACACAGACAATAACGAATGCAAATTAATATACTAACTATTAAAAAAATCCACTCATAGGCCTACTAATGGAACACTGTAGGTATTAATCTAGCCATCGCGCGTAATAAAGACCATCGCACATCAGCGAACGGACCATCGCACTTCAGCGTGATCATTGCACCTCCGAGTCCCACATATATTTTATGATCCACGAGAGCAAGTATTAATTGATTTACTCCATATTTTAAATGTTTGGTTGACGTTTTCTAAAAAGAAGTACTTCCATATTCAGCAGGCCACTCTATTTTTAAAACATAGTCCGAAAAAGATACTACATAGATATAAGAAGATGTGGTAAGAGTGCCAATCAGACAACTCTCCATCCAAGTCACAATTAGTCAAAAGTAAACCATTATAGGCCAAAGTACGGCCTTCAAAACGGAGCCTTGGCTCCTACCGAACAGCAAGCTATAAAGGGCCCCAAAAATGACTAGTGTAAAACCATTCAAACAAACGACAACCACTGAACAACAGGTTCCTGACATAGGACAGATGCAAACAAATGCAGTGGGTTTGAACGTATTAACAGGCGCCAACCTTCACCCTTACCTGAAGTAGTGGTGTAACATTACAATATAGAAAGACACACTATAAAATATCAATTGAAATGGCTTAACTCAATCAAAAACACATATAAAGATTCCATTAAACAAACAATTGTTGAGATTAAAAGAAATTGAATGCTTGTGCATATTAAAGAATGCTATGATCTTGACAAAGGATACACTTTTACATGTTCTACGATTCTATGCATACAAAGGTTTTGTTTATAACAAAGTTGTTAAATGTCTAATGCCCCGATCTGTTGTTAAT